TAGAAATTGTTTTTTAGAGCTTAATTGACATATCCTCCATGGTAACGAGACTTGGTTGCGAGATTATCATGTGTATTAAGTTTGGAAAAAATAATGATTGAGTAAAAATTACATTTGAATGTATAAGTGGATTCCATGTCCTAGTTCTTTCTCATATTTGAAAACTTATTTTTTAATCTCTTAATTTTTAGTAGTTAGTAAAATCTTTAGTTTTTGTTTAATTTAAGTTTTCTTTAAAATTATTCACTTTCATATTTAGTTGTTTTTTTTTAAATAGTAAACTTTGTCCAACTAGATTAGAAATATTCAATTGAATCTAGAATAAAATTCTTCACATAATCAAGTCCCTGTGGGATCGACCTCGTATTTGCGTTGCTATACTTTCGTACGGTTCGTGCACTTGCGAGTAAATAAAATATCACAACAGTATGTAGCCGTGAGGGTAAAAATCATGTCCCCACAATCTCCCACAATGATGCATCACATGACAATGGACATGCTGCATTATCTAAACCTGGGAGAAGAAGACGCATTTCTAAGCGCATAGGCTGTATGGCACGTGTTGCATTTCGCATCCTTGGACATGATGGTTACGTTCTCAGCATATTCGAAGAACAGCACAATCATCCTCTCACTTCTCTCCCCTAGAGGCCATTTTTGAAGATCAACAGGAACATTGATCTAGGCCATAAGAAGTTCATACTCAACTGTGCTAAAGCAAACATTGGCACCATGAAATCATACCGACTTTTCAAGGAGTCCGTTGGTGGGCATATATTGCTGGTGGAGATGCTCAAATGGTCATTGATAAATTATTCCGAAAATCAGAAGTATGCCCTGGATTTAGGTTTGATTATGAAGTTGACGAGTACGACCAGCTTTCCAGGCTATTTTGGTGTGACGCTGCAGCCAGGAAAAGCTACTCCCTCTTTGGTGATGTTGTCTCCTTTGATGCCACATATACAACCAACAGGTCACACATTTATTAATTTCCACTTTTCACATCTCACATCATCCCAATATAGCATGCAACTCTTTGTTGATTCATAGCACTATCCATTTCCTTGTCACTTTTTGTAGGTACATGATGATATTCGCTCCGTTCACTGGTGTCGACAACCATAAAAAGTGTGTGACATTCGGCTTTGGCTTGCTGTCAAGCAAGGACGCTGAGTCATATTCATGGTTGTTGAGATCATTCATGAACGCGATGGGGAATGCTCCAAGCTGCATCACAACTGATCAAGATCCTTCAATGCGAATTGCAATTGAAGAAGTCTTACCACAAACCAAGCATCGCTATTGCATGTGGCATATTATGAACAAACTATCAGGGAAAGTTGGTCCGGTGTTAAGCAAGGATATGGAATTCATGACTCGCATTAATCAGGTGGTCTGGACTCATTACTTGGACAAAAAAGAATGGAAAGCACAATGGCGCAGTGTTATGGCAGACTACAACCTCACGGAGCATTCGTGGTTCAAGTCACTATACACGTTACGTAAGTTTTGGATTCCAGCTTATTTCAGGGATCTATTTATGGTCGGGCTTTTGCGCACTACGTCTAGATCAGAGAGTGAAAACAGTTTCTTTGACGATTTCACTGACCGCAACTTTAGCCTAGTTGAATTATTAATGCAATTCGAGAGTGCAATGGAGGACCAACGGTTCAAATTTACTCGTTTGAACTCAGAATCCGAGTCGGGAATTCCAGTGTTCAAAACCCCATTAAAGATTGAGAAACACGCTGCATCGTTATTCACTCTCTCTGTCTCTTATGATGTGCAAAAAGAGATTTGTGCATCCTGCTTTTCATGCGCTATTGTAGGTATCCAAAACAGTGAGGAGGCTTCCGAGTATCAGATCAGCGATGTAAGTAGGATGATATCAACTGTCCGCTACTGTCAACGCAATGGGACCACGCACTGCAGTTGCAAAAACTACGAACGCATTGGCTTGCTATGCAGGCACATATTTGTTGTTTTCAAAAATCTCAAAATAGAAAAGATCCCTGACTTGTATGTTACCAACCGCTGGTGCAAATTCCATTTGCTCAAACCAATGTTCAATGTCGGTGGCTCAGAAATGGACAAGGTATCATTTACGGATCAAAATAAGACTCTTGTTTCTCGATTGATGTCAGACATCCACTTTTGTATTGCCTTGGTGGAACACAACCCTGATCTGCTGCTAGCATTTTCCAACACTATAAATCAGCACAAGGAGGCGCTAATCGACAAACTTCAAGATGGCAATGTAACACCCCGGCCCCCACCCTGGCCGTAAGTGTTCGCTCATAGGATTGTAGACTGTCCCCACAAACCAACACAAGTCTTTCCCGCACACTTTGTCCTCACTCATGCGCGCCCAAGGAAAACTTCTCAGGGGGTCACCCATCATAGAATTGCTCCAAGTCAAGCACGCTTAACCTTGGAGTTTCTAGGTGATGAGCTCTCGAAAAGAAGATGCACCTTGTTGGTATGAGTAGTACTATCAATCCTTTTGAGCTCTTCCCATTCTCATCTTAATACGGGGTATTACAGGCAAACTATCATCTGACACATCCTCGGTGTTTGAAAACTTTTGTGGCACTTCTGCACCTTCAGAACTTTGTGTATTACCCCCTGCGCAAGTCTGTACAAAGGGCAGCGGTAAGCGTATTAAAGGAGGAAAGGAAGTTAGCATTGAAGAATCAAAGAAAACCAAACGCTTGTGTCGGACATGCAAAGAATATGGCTTCCACGACAGCAGGAACTGTCCTATGAACCATGAGAAGTGATAAGTCTGTTTTCCGGTTCCATTTTTATTGTTTATTAATGGTTCAGTTATTTTTATTCCATTTATAAGTCTCTGTTTTTTTCCAATCTTTTGTAATCCTGAATAGTTATAATCAATTCCAATGGTTGAATGTCTCATTTGCACCACCATCTTCCACAGAATCTTTGTCATCCTCACCCAAGTCGACATGCTCTGCGTGTACTTTTGGCCTTTTCTTAATCTCTGCAAGCTGCAATCTACCGCTTCTTTGTATCGGTGAAGCCATTACAACTGTTTTCTTGCTGCGCTTGGCACTTTTTTTCAAGGCAAGATCTGCAGACCCCACCAAAAAAACCAATAACAAATACTCGTAAGCAAGGATACAATGACTAATCACATCATAAAAAATAACAACACCAACGTGGTGATTGTGTCGACACCCAAACAAAAAAAACCACACCAAACAACACAAAACTCGAATATCCAAACCATTTTACACTTTAAAGAATCAAACCCATATGTAATAGTATAAAATGCACAAAATTTAAATACACAACATTTCTATATACCAAAAAAAATACCAAGCATAATGCAGATTAATAACCTACAGATTGATACAGTATCACATTTTTAACGAAGCTAGATGCACAGTAAGCCCTCATCTATGCTAATATTAAAGCATGCGTTGTGCAAAGCTAAGCAAACACCAACTACTACATTATATGCATCAGACCACAAACAGAATTCCTGACTCCAGCTGAACACAATTGAACTCCACCCCACCAATGTCAAAATGATAAATTCTTTCAATACCATATCCCAAAACTCTCATCACTGCTTACCATGCACCCAAAAAAAGTTAATCTGAAGCCACATTAAAACGTTTTCCACACTCACAGTATCTCATTGCTCAGACCAAATCATGACTCTTATTCATCCCATTTGAATCACATAAATCTATAAAATGAAAACTAAAAATATAACTCTTACAAATGCAATGCACGGTATTAGTAACAAAAGGATCACTGAGCAATAGCTCTTCACCATGGGGAAACCCATGCATTAACAGAACGAACACTACAAAATAAGCCAAACCATGTCATACATTGGCATATCCATACTGCTTTAACCAGTCAATGCAATATAACTTCACCAATACACACATACCAAAACGTAAGAAACACCATAACTTATAATAAATCACCATAGGCATCCAATGTATATCTCATAAGCAGGATACTTTACGAAAACCAAGATTCTTTCTATACTTATAACAAATTAATTAAACACTTCAATGCTCATATAAAAACCCAGCAGAATGTCTATAGCACCACAACAATATAATCTACTTAAAAAAGGCCAAAAATGTTGCACAATTACAATACTTTAGTGCATATATGATAAGAACACCTTAGGCACAAACACTCAATCAGAACACAAAAATGCACTATAGCATATTCAAAAGAAACTACTGAGGATCAGTTTGCACACAACTTAAAACTGTTAAGAATAAGATCACAGTACGCATAATTCATTCACCAATACAGCATCACAACATCAAAAAACCAGATGCCCACATGCAATACACGAAACGCAATCACACTACGCCAATGAATCTTTAAACAAATAACAACACTATCTATTACCTACACTAAAAAGTCAAACAAAACCTGGAAAACCCCATATCCATGTTTGCAACTGATTTAATATATTCACAAAACACAGAAAACACTAAATTCAAAATAACAATTCACATTGCTCAGATTCAGCACATCCTAATTTTTTAAATCAACCCAAACTGCACATCATCATCAACACGATGCAAACACACAACACTGCACCACTTAAAATCATCAGAACATAGATAAACATCCATCATCCATATACTTATAATGAACAAAAAACCCACAAGAAACTTAAAAAAAATCATTTTGTCCCAGATTCAGAGAATAAATAAAAACACAAATCCTCGAAATAAGACAAAACACATGCAAAAAAAACCCAAACCACATCCCAAAACCCAAAACCCCTACCAGTAGCCAAATTGTGCAGTAAGACACAATTTTTTCCTTAATCAACATCTATCATGTGTAAAGAATGCATCCTTAAACACATGCAAAAAAACCAAAACCCAAGCCGCCCAAAAAAACACCCAAAAATTGGCACATACCAGATACTCCTTCAGGCTCCATCTCTGCAATCTTCTTTACGCGGTACGAAACGGGTAGAAGTCCGACTCAAATGCTCCAATAACACCTTGAGACTGATAAATCGCTGCACCACTAGCGGAAGAATGGCAGCGCAACCAGCGAGGTTTATTGAGAAGCGAAGAGTTCTATTCTGAGCCTGCGGCTTATTAGGCGGGATTCTCCAACATCTACGCATTTCAATAAAATCAAATCTCCCAATTATGCCCCTCCACGATTCTACTGTCAAAAGGAGTGTTTAATAATAATTACACTTCCTATTTTAAAGGTTGTTTCTCAGCCACACGATTGGATTAATCCTAGGCTCCTAATCCATTCTTATTTCATTCACTGAGACATATTCTTATTAGAACCCAACCCTATATATATATATATATATATATATATATATATATATATATATATATATATCTATGTATGTATGTATGTATGTATGTATGTATAGGGGCCGGTTCAGGTGAAATGCACCTTGGTGAAAGAAATAAGAATAAAATCTAGCCTTTGGATCAGATGCATCGTGCGGCTCAGATTGCATCCTACACTCAGATTTTGAGCTAATGCATTTTCAAAGGATTTTGGTGCATTTCGACATGTCGCATTTTAAAACCATTTTGGTGCACCTAATTTTGATGTAATCTCGACTCTTAGATCGCATTCTCACCAGAACCAAAATCTATATATATTGTGTGTGTGTGTGTGTGTGTGTGTGTATATATATATATATATATATATATGGCACAACATACCACAATATTTTAAATAATTAGGCACAACATATGAAACAAAAGTCTACACATAATATGGAAAAAAAGATTGGGTTCACAAGCATTTAGAAGATAACAGGTAAAAACATAATTAAAAACAAGTTTATATCCATCATGTTGGTTTAATGAACCAAACATGCATGTCTAAAAATTATCATTGAAGAGGGTTACATATGGATATCATTATTTGTGTCCATAGACTCATCCTGGACACTAGATAAGTCAACACCATAGTCATCCTCAATCTGCTCATCATCATCATTGGAAATGGTTCAACTTCAAGTTTTGTGTTTCCCAACTCTTCATGAATTGTTGCCAAGGTAGAAGACAAAGTAGCAGATGAAGTAGTAGTACGACGTCGAGAAAAAGTTATTACATCATTAGGAGACCATGATGTGTTTGATGTCGTTACACCTCTTCTACTTGAAGTACGACGATCTAGATTGTTGGATGCACCGGTCGCTTCATCCACATGTGACCATAAGAGATCATCTCCAGAATGCACCACTTCAGCATTATCGTCAACCCACTCATTGTCCCACTGAAACTCCTTTAAGCCCAAAGGATTGTAATGACTAGATTTAGCTCTCTCTTTCTGCATTTTTTGAAACCGTGTCTCAATCCTTTGATTATACTAGACATACACTAGATCATTCCACCTTTGATGCTGAAGTCTATTTCTTCTTTTTTGTGTGGATCTAAAAAAAGAAGTAATTTTAATAAAGAAATTAAAATTTAAAACTTCATCACTTGTAAAATTAACTCCTATATTACTTACAAATTCAAAGGTGCTCCAATTGCGCTCACATCTAGAAGAGAAACAACACATGACAACAATATGCTTTGAAAATATTTGGAGTTCTCAAGCTTCTTTGCCAAAAGCGTCCCACCAATCCACTATAAGTTGAAATATTAAAGTAAAAGTCATGAACATCTTTTAATAATACCGAAATACGAAGTAACTTGGACTTACTTGTGTTCTTTGTTTTGTGTTGCTTCATTATCAACAGTTTTTCAAATGTACCTCGCATAGCATGGTAATCATCTGCCTAATTACTAATTTTTTGTTGCACTGCATCATCGACTATCATCTTCTCTAGGACATCATTGAAATTAGCTCTAACACTGCTTGCTTTATCACCATTTTCTGTTTTTATGTCATAATACCTACTAGGACATAAAAACAGAGCAGTCCTATATAATTTTTGGCCCATCTGATCTTTCCAACGATCCTCAATAATTGTAATCACTTTGTTTAGCAACACTTTTTTGTTTTGAAAAGCCTCTGTGATCTTCTTTTTGACATATCCATTGCTGGCGCGCATCACCTCTATAATAGATGGTCTTTCATCACCGTCTACAATCCTCAACACAATAAGAAGTGGTTGCGATGCACATATGCAATCCTCAACTGTATTCCAAAATTGAGTTGAGAGCACGATGTCTTGATCTCTTTTCCCAGCCTCTGTTTTGGCCAACTTAGACCTGTTCCAATCCTTGCAATTAAACAAGCCTTTCAATGCATCTTTATGTACGTACATACAATGAAGGTGAGAAAAGATGTTGCGAATCTAGCTTGTAATGCC